AACGACTGTTGGCCATTTTAGACTGAGTTTTCCCTTATCAATAACTTAAAAAATATCATGATACTTTCTACTGGCCTCCACTGTTTCAGAATAGAAATTCTTGGCCTTTTGAATTGCTTTTCTCTTAAGGTAATGTGTCATTTATTTTTGTCTGCTTTTAAGATTTTTTTGGTCTTTAGTTTTCAAAATTTTAGTTATGATCTGTCCTGGCATGGATTTCTTTTGAGTTTATTCTGATTGGAGTTGACTGAGCTTCCTGGATGTTTGTTTGTCTTTTACTAGATTTTGGAAGTTTCAACCATTATTTCTTGAAATGTTCTTTCATCTCCACATCTTTTCACCTTTCTTCCTGGGACTCCAATGATGTAACTATTGTATTTTTTGTTATTGTGCCACAGGTACCTGAAGCCCTGTTTGTTTTCTTCAGCCTATGTTTTCTCTGTTCTGATTAGGTGAACTCTACTGTTCTGTCCTCAAGTTCACTAGTTCTATCCTTTGTCATCTCCATTATACTATTGAGCCCTCCAACAATCTTTTCCCCCCGTCATTATATTTTTTATTTCTATAGTTTCTACTTGTTTTTTTTTTAAAAATAAATTCTATTTTTATATTTTTATTTGTTTCAAGATAATTACTAATTGATTTTTGAAGCATTTTTATGATGGCTCGTTTAAAATCTTGCCATATAATTCCAATATCTGACTCATACTAGTGTTGCCCTCAAATGATTGTCTTTTCTCCTTCAGATTGTTATTTCCTTGTTTCTTGGTATGATGGGTGATTTTTGACTGTACCATAGATGTGTATCTATCACATTAAGAGACTCTGGTTTCTATTTAAATCTTTTTTTTTTTTTTTAATATATCTTTATTGATTTCAGAGAGAGGAAAGGAGAGGAAGAGAGAGAGATAGAAACATCAATGATGAGAGGGTCGTTGATCGACTGCCTCCTGCACGCTCCCGACTGGGGATCGAGCCCCCAACCAGGTCATGTGCCCTGACAGGGAATCAAACCCTGATCGCCTGGATCCTAGGTTGACGCTTAACCGCTGAGCCATGCCTGGCGGGGCTCTATTTAAATCTTTATTTTAGCAGACAGCAGCATTGTTTAGGTTTAGCATGTGAGTCTTGGCCTACATTTGTTGGCTGTGATACGAATGGAAGTTTAATTTTTATAGATTTTGGGGTATAATTTTGGCTTGCTTGGTTTATCTAGTACTGCTGAGGTTCCCACTGGTCCCTGCTAGTGCTGCCTGATAGGTCAAAAGGAGTTTTCTCTGACCTGCCACTGGATGTCTCTGAGTGAAGGAGGGTCACAGTGGGATTCTCCACCAGTGTCACCTACCCCACACTGGCCCAATGTCTCTGGGAAGAAGAGTGCTGGGTCTGTGAGACAAAGAAGCTTCCTGGAACTGAATGTTTGTGGTGACTTGAGTCTCATTTCTGGTTCCATCTTCTGCTGCCAGTGTCTTCGGGTGGGGGGTGGAGAGTTTGGGGCCCATCTGGACAAAGAAGCTTTCCAGACCAGGCTGTCTGCTGTAGCTGGGTCTCTTTTGTATGCTCTGCCTGCCAACCTTAGTATTTCTCGGTGAGCAAGGAGAGTCCCAGGCCTAGTGGAGGAGAATACGTCCTCTGACTATTTATTTCTATCTAGGCTCCTATGATATTCTGATTTATAAGAAATATATATTTGCCCATTTAGATGACAAAATTTGGTCTTAGACCATGGTTCCTAGCTCACAGCTCCCTAACTCTTGGAATTTCCTGAGTAATAAGAGCTTCTTTTGTTATAATATTTGGTCTCTTGTCCTCAGCTCCTGAAATTACTTCAGAGTCATAAAAGTGTAATGGGTATTTTGTTATTCACAACAGGCCCCTTTCTACCACAGCTGGGTTTATGTTAATGAAATGACTTTGGAAAGCATCTAAGGATGAGGGCTGGTTGCCATGGGAACCAACTGAAACTGTACACAGTGGGTCTGGGCTGCCTGTCACTTCTTGAGCCAAATTAAGTAGAGACAATGTTGAATCATATATGAACGTTTATTCCAATAATGCTGGAAGTATGGCGAGAGCAGCAGGTTGTCCTGTAAATTCTGCTCTAACACCTCCTACTAGCCAGCTAATTATATAGGGATAAGGAAGAATGTCTATGTGCAAGGGGGAAGGGAGGGCAGAACAAACAGCTACAGGGTCCATGGTCTGTGTGTCTCCTTCCAGGGTCTTGAAGTCTGATAACAAGGTAGTTAATTTTCCATGATGTTAAAAACAACTCCACCCATACCTAGGACCTGGGACCAGAGAATCAACAGCATTCCTGAGGCAAACTCCTGGAGGGGGTCAGGGTCCAGGCATAGCAACCAAATCAAAGTGTCTCCTGT